ACAGCAGTGATTTTAAAATGACATTAGTATGTATGTAAAATGTCACTAATTACATCATTTATTACCATCACCATCAGCATTATTAGAAAATTAGCTAAAAGCACAGGTTATAATTTATTAGTTCTGATTTACATCTGTTTATTTATAAAATAAATTGAAATCAAAGAAAATTTTAACGGCAAAAATGTCTTCCGCTGCAGTGACAACAAGAAAAAAGTCTACTTGTCCTATCTTTGGTTCACCAGCAGACTTACGGGTAAATGTCTTGCCAACATACAAACATGTCATGCTAAGTTATCTTTTGTCAATGCAGAAAATAAGAGTGGAAACTGGTGGAAAATAACCTTCTTTGAAAAAAATATCTGAAAATATGGCGCACAAAATAGAAAATTTGTGGGGAAAAGCATTGATACCTATTGTGTCTCATAAACCCATTGTAAAAATGTTTCTTGATTACAATCAAAAGTGTAGAAATATTATGAAGTCTGTTAACAAAACAAAACATACAGACAAATTGAAGTCGAACATAATAACATTTCAAAAGCATGCAGAAAATACTTTATTTGATGTTGCAGCATGCAAATTCCTTGATTTTTCTAAATGCATCTGTGAAAAAGCAAAGAAGGTACCAGAGAAAGAACATGAGTTTCTTAGCAATCAGAGATTTATGAGGATTATGTATATGGAAGGACTCGATATTCAAGCTACTTTAAGATTACGGCAAAAAGAAGCAAGAAAAAACAGAGTAAATAGCCCCTTGCCATCTAACCCATCAAAACAGCCTTGTGCTATTACAGGTATTGAAGCTCAATCAACATTATCAAGCCGCATTCATAATTCAAGTTTCTATTCTATATCTCAAGATTCTGACTCTGATGACACTGTGATTTGGAGTAGTGACTCAGAATCAGATGCTGATTATTTAGACACAGCTGAAGGCCACAAACAAAAATGAAACAGAAAAGATAAAACTGAACAAATGAGATCACCGTTACTATCCTTAGCACAAGCCTGCGATAGAGTTGGTGTTTCAAGCAGAGTTGCTGCATTTATAGCATGTGCTGTGCTGGAAGACATAAACATAATTTCAAAAGGAGACCAATCTAAAGTAATTGATAAAAATAAGATTCAAAGAGAACGAAAGAAAAACAGACTTAAAATGCAACATTTAGATCATGAAAATATTCAAATGTTAGAAGGTTTATATTTTGATGGAAGAAAAGATTATTGATACAAACAAGGGAAAAAATATACGAAAAACTTTCAAAGAAGAACATGTAGTTTTAGTACAAGAACCAGGGTCAAAGTATCTAGGGCATGTAGAGGCTGCATCAGGACATGGATACAGCATTAAGACAAGTATAAAAACATTTTAAACTCAGAACAACATTGATAAATCCAAACAGCGTGGAAAATAACGGGCGGTCAAAGACCGCCCGAAATGACTGAAATTGCTGTTTTGACCTCCCAAAAAGAATTCTAGCCAGTCAAGGTTGATCGGTTGAAAAATCAGAGTTAGTCAGAAAAATCAGAAAAATCTTTTGTTAAACCCAATTTTAAATTTTTTAGATTTCATAACACCGTAAAACTTTGATAAAGCATCTAAAACAATTTTATTGCTTATATGCTATGTTTTAAAGTAGAAATAATTAATAAAATTGCTTTTATTCACTTCGTTGGAACAAAGCGAATTAAAATTCGCATTGCTGCAATGTGAAATTTGTCATCGTTTATAATACTCGCTAATGCTTCGACGAGTATTATATATGGTGTAAACTATATATATTAATTTTTTTGCTTCAGTTATTGAGATCAATTTTATTGAGTGTTTTTTTCCTTAACTGATTTAAGTTCTTATTTTATTATTATTTTAATAATAATATAGTATACAATAATTGATGATTTTAGCTAAGCACTAAATTTATTTTTGCTCTCTCTACCGTAAAAACCCCTAATTCCGGATGGTTTAGGACTAATATTGTCATAACTAGCTCAATATAAAGAATTTTGAAATAATTTTTTTAAATAAATAAACTTCATAACAAGACAAATCGAACGATATAAAAAATATTATTTTTGCGATATAAATCTATCTTTTATTTTATTTTTTAAAAATATTGTTTTTATCCGGAATTAGGTGTTTATGTCCCTAATTCTGGATGCGTATAAAATACAGAAAAACACATACACAAATAATACTAAAATTAAAATAATTATTTTAATGTTAGTATTATTTGTGTTATTTAAATGAAATCATTTAATAAAAAAAGAATATATATTATTTTACACACATTCGTTACAAATAAACTCCATGGCTGAACGATAATCAAAAACACATTCAATGCATGACCAAATTGAACACTGCTCACACGCAAGCCATTGGTTATCTAAGTTATTTGTCCAATTAATTTCGCAAGAATAACATAGAAGATTATCAGATACTAAAATGTTATTTGAAACTTGAGGAAAATGAGGGTCTTCTAATCCATTTTTTGTCTTT